CCATTCCCGGGCCACATTTTGAATGCCCGGAGCCAACTCTAGGCCACTTCGTGCTCTTCGACTTCCCTCTTACATTTTCAGCAGGGGCAAGAGCACGACGAGGAGGAGGACGAGCAAGACCAGGAGGACGAGGACGAGCAGGAGCAGGACGAGGAGCAGGAGGAGCAGGAGAAGAAGGACGAGCAGGAGGAGGAGGAGGACGAGCAGGAGGAGGAGGACGACCAGGAGGAGGAGGACGACCAGGAAGAGGAGGAGGAGGAGGAGGAGGAGGAGGAGGAGGAGGAGGAGGAGGAGGAGGAGGGGGAGGACTACCAGGAGGAGGAGGAGGAGGAGGAGGAGGAGGATGAAGAGGAGAGGAGGAGGAGGACGAGGAGGAGAGGACGAGGAGGAGGAGGGGGGGGGGGAGAGCACCAGGAGGAGGAGAACGAGGACCGCCAGGAGGAGGAGGAGGAGGAGGAGGAGGAGGAGGAGGAGACACCACGAGGAGGAGGACGAGCAAGACGAGGAGGACGAGAACGAGGGCGACCAGGAAGAGGAGGAGGAGGAGGAGGAGGGGAGGGGGAGGACTACCAGGAGGAGGAGGAGAGGAGGAGAAGGAGGAGGAGGAGGAGGAGGAGGAGGAGGACGAGGAGGAGGAGGAGGAGGACGAGGAGGAGGAGGGGGGGGGAGAGCACCAGGAGGAGGAGAACGAGGACCACCAGGAGGAGGAGGAGGAGGAGGAGGAGGAGGAGGAGGAGAGAGCACCAGGAGGAGGAGGACGAGCAAGACGAGGAGGACGAGAACGAGGACGAGCAGGAGGAAGAGGAGGAGGAGGAGGAGGAGGAGGAGGAGGAGGAGGAGGAGCAGGAGAAAGAGGAGGAGGAGGAGGAGGAGGAGGAGGAGCAGGAGAAAGAAGACGAGCAGGAGGAGCACGAGGACGAGCAGGAGGAGGAGGAGGAGGACGAGCAGGAGGGGAGGGCGGCCGGCTGCCCCGGCCGGCTGCCCCGGCCGGCTGCCCCGACCGGCCGCGCTTGCGCCCGGCCGCGGAGCGCGGTCAAGGGAAGGGGGCGGGGGCGGGCGGTCAAGGTTGATACCCCCTCCTCGCTCGTTCCACTGCCTGCTCGCAGCAGTGGCACCAGCACATGCACAAGAGATTCCTGCATGAACTGTTGTACTTGCATATCTGATGGCCTTCGGCCAAGGTCGTGCGCACCAGGGCTCTGAGGAAGGCTCCCTAAGCTCGAGACGCTTCGAATGCTCTGTAGTTTCCTCGTAGCCTCCTTTCCATGCCTCTGTAGCTTCCACGCACTCCTGCGTCGCCGAGTTTCTTCTTGCAGCGTCCTTGTCGTGTCGCGGGGTGCGTTTGCGTCACTTCGGTGTTGCTGCGCCTTGAGACGTGTCTCTGCTGCTTCTTCGTCTCATCGGGGACTCCAGCGTCACCGAATTTGTTCCCGTATTGTGCTTGTCGTTCCAGGTCGTGCGTACGCGCGCAGAATGTTTCTCTGCAGCGTCCTCGTCGCATCA